GTTGCCCATTGGCACCTGACATATTGCCACTTAAAGGTAGGGGCTCATTTCTGGCTGAGCTCCATGTTGGACTTTATAACAGCTCTCTGTATTTGCTTGTCGAGCACAAATTATTTTACTACCGGGTGTAACTCTTTATGAAGTCTATCTCCTGGAAATATTGCCAGTGGAAGGAAGTATAACTATATATTTACCTTACTATAAAGCTGTTGTAGTCATACTGTTTGACTCATACTAGTACATTTTGTGTTAGAGTAATGCTTTAAGGTCAGTGGAGAAAGGACTGTTCCTACTTTCACTTGGGAAAAAACAAATGTAGCAAAGGATAAAGAATCATTTGCTTGCTGTTTTTCACTTGTGATACATAACTGAGAGCAGAAAAGAGCTGAGCATTTGATAACTATATTAGACCTAATAAAAAACTTAAAAAAAAAAAAGAAAATCCAGTTCTTGTATGACCTGTAGAAAAGGGCTTCTTTTGTATGCCTTCTGGAATAACTTACATTGGACGGAGAAAGTGGCAGAATACCCTCATCTGATTCAACTTTCTGAAATGTCCTGAAGGTGAGTTGTGTTTAGGATGAGACACTTGCTAGCAAAAGAGACCCCAAAAGCTCCTCAGTGCTGAGGATCTATATATAGCAGCAGCAATTGTTAAACATTCTGTTCCTCATTGGTTTCCTGCTGTGCCTCCAGTGTGTCAGATTCTTTCCCTCACAAAAATGGAAGTTTAGACAGTCTCCCTTTCATTTCTCCTTCCAGACAATTTGCCATGAATTTATGCTCTCAGTGCTAAAACAAGTGTATTAACATATGTAGAAACCATTCAAGTTTTTCAAACAAAACCTGTAACTTAAGGATCCAACTACGTGACTGTGTAGATAATTATTCTTTTAAACGTAAAACTCCACATAAAAATTTGGTGGCAGCTTTGAGTATCTTCAAGCTGTCATCCTGAAGTGCCACAGAAAATAGCATTATTCTGATGTAATGTAAATCCAGATTGTTCAGAGGGAATAAAGACATGATCCTCCTTCTCCCAAACTTAGGAGAAAGATTTCTGCTTTGTTGTTCTAGTGCTACTCAAAATTCACAGCTTCCTTGTGTCAAACGGATACAAGAAGCTGAAATGAAGCTCTGATTCCTGTAACATGTAGTGATCATGCTCAGAGTCCAACCTGCCAGGGGTGGATCACACCTCTTGAGCTATGCTGCATGGGCTGCTTTGTGTGTACCCATGGGTGGCATATGGGATCTCTGTATGCCTGACACCACGGGAACAACAGTTCTTGCAGGGCCATAGGGTCTCCAGAAACCTTATAAACACACAAAGCCAAATCTCACTGAGGCAGAATTTCTGTGGTTGAAGGTGTGTCCAGGGAAATGTGTGTGTCCGTGTATACTTGAGAAGAAGCCGAACGGGAACAGCCAGGAAATGTCATTTTACATTTTTAACACAGGCTATTTTTTAAAGAAAATGAATGTCATTTATTTGCCAGAGAAGTCGAAATGCCAATACTTGTATTCTAAACAGTAGAATGTCTAAAGTGGTAAGACCCATTAAAATATACAGAATGAGAAATCGTTTAATCCTTTATAAGGAAGGTGCTGACATCCCTTGCAAGTAGGAGGATTCTGTCTTTTACTTGTGACTGACTTCAAAGGGAGATGAGAGTGCTGCTTGTTGTCACAGTGGGGGCTGTATATTCAGTTAAAGAGTCTCCATCACCATGGTATTTTCAACATCTCTCAATTTTAATCATTAAGGTTCACTTTATGATGGGAGAAAGCTTCTTGTTTCCTTTCCCCTTTTTTAACAAGTGGTAAAAAGATTTGCTGAAGGTGTGTAAGGTTTTGACAACTGCAAAAATGAAATTTCATCCTCTCAATTCCTGTCCTGTGTCCTAACTAAAAGAAATTAATGTCATCCTTCCTTCTGTGTTGTGGAATATATAGACAACTATAGTGTGTATTAGCTTAGCAGTAGGTTGATTTGACCTGTTAAATGAAGCAGTACATGTATATTCAGCTGTCAGCATGGATGGTGATCCTGTTAGGAGATGGGGGAGAGAAAATGGCAAATATAACCAAGATGTTTATCTTTGCAATTCAGAATAAGTGAACTATCAGCTGCACAAAGCATCTTTCATAAAGGAGCATCTCCTGTTACTGTTTCTATTAATGTTAAAGTCATTTAGATCAATAAGCTGCATTATGAAAGGGGGCATGTACATGCCCAAGCCATTGTCTTAACATGAGTTTTCTGTTAGCACTGTTGCTCCTCTGTGCACAGACTACTGCTTTCCCTTAGTGGCCTTGGTTTTCACATCTGTTTCATTTTCTTGCTTGTTGCTAAGACTTCCTCTGAAGAAATTTTGTTCTTTTCACTGATGACATTTGATGTTTTGGGTTGGGGTGACTCCTTCCTCTGAAAAGAATGAGCTCCTTTTTCCCCTTAGTGATTCTGCTTTGCTGTTGCAGTAGAAAATAAGTCATCGCTGATGACTGATGCGGTTCTTAGCGGAGGTGGTAGGCAGTGGCTCGTTCCTGCTACTTCAGAAGAGAAGCCCAGGGAAAGGGGTGCCCTGATCTTCCGAGCTGTAGTCTCAGTGAGTTACTCACAGCACCCAGCTTTTAAAATGCTTACTTTGATTCGCAGCTGTGCGCTTTTGATACCAAAATGTAAATATCTAGTCACTGTTGCAAAGCCAGGCACTGATGCTAGACAATGAAAAAAAAAAAAAAAAGGCAAATGCCTACAAATAGGCAGTGTCGTGTTCCTTCTGACAGCAACACCTTAGAGCCTGAAGGAGAACCAGCTGAATTCTAAGTCTTTACATACTGATTTCTAAAGAAAAAGAAGCCGTAATATATATATGCACTCTTATTCCAAGTATGAAGTACCTGATTGTCCGAAAGCAAAACACGTCACAGATTTTGTAACAGAGATTCCTAAGCCCAAGGCATAAGGAGGCAACTCTGCACTAAAAGCATGCCTGATGCTTCCAAAATCCTCGTCTGTCCGGAAAGTAGATTTTAGTGATGCTAATCCCCCTATTAGTCTTCAGAAGGAAAAGGACAACCTGTCGACCCACTAAGTAATCTGCTAGCCACCTGCATAGGACAGCACCTCTCCTGCCTCCAACCTATCCAGCTGCAGCAGCAAGTTGCCAGTGACAAAGATAATTGTTCCTAAAAGGGTGATTTTCTCCTAGGTAACAGATTAGAGGGTAGGGCAACTACATAGAGGAGAAGGGAAGTTCATGCAATTGGAGGTTGGGGATATTTAGTCTGCTTCCAATTGAAAGGGGAAAAGTGGAAAGAAAGGCAGAAGTTGACTGTAGAGCTCAGTAATTGAGATGAAACTGCCCGCAGCTCTGGGACAAGCTCATGCAGTCATGGCATCTCTGAAGCATTTGTATTTAAAGCTTTCAGATCACCGGATCATGTTGTGTCATGTCACATCTGGGTTTCCCAGCTGCCGTTGAAGACCAAGAGTCCCCTATCACTGGGGAGCAGGGAAATAAGCGCATTGAGCTGCGGTGAAGTCAAATGCAGACCTCGTTTTCTGCATCTCTCAGAACCACAAGGGAATGTCATGGGGAGGAGAGGCCGTCTGATAACGCCCACCACAGAGTGTGGGGGTGGACAAAGGAAATTCCCTCATCAGCTTGTGAATGCGATAAAGAGCACAAACAGGCAGGCATGCAAACACCAGCTACTTAGTGCAACAGCTATTCTTAGTCTGTGGACTGCACCAGCCCAGGTGCTCACTGCCTCTGGTGCATCAAACTCCTCAGCTTCCATTTTAGGTTTGTCTTTCCCTTCTCCCCATGACGTTGCATAGGCTTCTTACTTGTTTCTAATGATAATAATAATAAAATTAAAAAAAAGGCACAGGGTGTGTGTGTGGAATATATCCTGTATTTTTTGTATCTTAGTTCAGTTCCAAAGCTCAGGTGAGGCTTTCCTGCAAGGAAGCGCTGCAGAAGGTCTGTCTTCTTCTTCATTTGGAACCCTTTTTTGCCTGTTACCTGATCCTGTTGGAGCAAAGATAACATCACTTTCGAAAACTCTTCCAAGTTCCTAGATCCCTGCCACACAGAGTATTCAGATGTCCCAGCATTTTCACCATGCCCTGAAGATCTAGCAGAAGATGTGGAAAGGGAAATCTGCATTCCAGCAAAAGAGGAAATGTGAGTCAGTAACTGAATAAACTCCAGCAATTCTTTTCTGTTTCATTTATTTTTTTGTTTAAGTCCATCTGTAAAGTGCAGCAGCAGTCAACAGAAGAGGAATCTAGCAGGGCAAATGGTTGCTTCTGCCTCTGAAACAAGGACCTGTAGGTATTTTCAGAGTGGGAGACTGCATTTAGTAAGCTTTAACTTGTAGCTCAGTAAGATCTAACTGTAAAGTTATGGTATTGGGATATATCTTCCAATGGTGCAATTAAGAAGCAATTAGTAGCTTTACACTGGTCTCATCTAACTTAAAACAGTGAGTGAGGAGGGAAAGGAAAGTATCCCTTGAAGCATCCTTTTCTTGGTTTTATTAAAAATGCCATGTGTATCAAGTGATTTAATCATGTCAGTGCTAACTTCGCTTTTACATAGCATGACCCGTGTCTTAATAGAGAAGTGGTGATTTTGTGGACCACCCGTTTCCATTTCACAGCCAAAGTGCTTCTACAGCAAGCACACTGATTGCATGAGAAGTAATCTTAAATACTCAGTGATCAAGCATGACACTGGAGTTGAAAAGAAGAGGTTGTGACTCTCTGAGCACTGCCACTAAGAGACCACCACATGGGTGGTACATCACAGTTTGAAAACCACTGGTCCTCAGACAACTTAGAAGATGTGGAATGAGGGAGGCAGCAGTGTGGCCTTTACAAATAGCTGATTCTCTGGGTTTTTTCCTCTTGTGGCTTGGATATGGAGAAGCACCCGCAGCCTGTGTGACTTTGAAAACTTCAACGGAAATGAAACAGGAAGCCAGATCCTTTCACAGCTTGTTGATCTGTGAAGACATGCTAAGTCTGTAGAGACTCTTTCTACCCCTAGCAAAAGAACTCAGGGGAGCAAAATCCAGCTGTGGAGATACCCTCTGGAGAGGAGATGCAGAGGCAACATGACAGAAAAGCAAGCAAGAACAGAGACCTGTGCACTGAGCAAGAAAAACAAAGCAGAGTTAACCGCTCCAAGAGAAGTGTTGGTAAGTTCGTAGAGCTGTGCTCTATATTCTGGCATTTCACCAGGCTGGTGATCAGGTATAGAAAGCTCCTGTACTGCAGATCACAGCTGCATAGGCACTATTCTTACCTGTGTGTTGGACTGTACCTGCCCTTGGTAGTAGTCATAAATGATGATAAACAGGAAAATGTTTCCTGACTGTTAATAATGGACTTGAAAAAAAGGAAGGGTGAAGCTCTCACTGGTTCTAGGAGAGCTAGGTTTCCTGCTTTTACTGGCTTGGATTGCTGTTGCCTCAGTTTCAGCAGACCCTTTTCATGCTCCTTTTGAATTGTTTGCGTTCTTTGGGATGTGGCTATAATCCTGACACTGACTTGCAGATGGGAGCAAGAATGTGGCAGCTGCTTCTGCTGATGATTTGATTTGTGGGTTAAACAGAGATGGTTAAAATGTCTTCACACTTGCTTAGCACAGCTTTCAGAATAAGCTTTTGCTGTAATTGCTATGCAGTCTCTTGTGGGTGCAAGTGGAGGTAGCCACAGTCATGCCTGCTGCTTGGAGATGCCATAACCTGCAGAAAAACCTGGAGGTTCACGTCATGGACAAGTTCATAATGTTCCCCTAAACAGAAGGAAATATCATAAATATCCCTAAGCAGTAGAAGTTTGCCACCAGCCTTGTCTGAGCATCACAAACATTTGCAAAATGCCATGACCAGAAAGTCTGGAGGAAGAGAATCAAACATGGGCTGCTTCCAGCCGGAGCTCCCTGGAGCTCTCCCCTTATCCCCATGGAGCTGCTGCCTACTTGGAGGCAAAGCAGGGGACGCATTACTCCTGCAGAAACATACTTGAATGCATGCTCCAAGTAAGGCTTTTTCTGGATCCCTATATTGTTTTCCAAGATATTTAGGGGAAATTCACGCTTTCTGAACCCTCATAGCAGTGTGTTTCCACTTCTGCGCAGTCTGTAACAGAAACTGCCTTCCAGTGAGTTGCTATTCTGCTTTCTGAAGTTGATCCCAACACAGACCTAGACCTAAACTTTTCTTGCTCTTCTTAGAATTATCCTAACTCATATTCAGCCAACAGGAATGGCACACCATACCAGTCCAACACAGGATGTGGGAGGCTTGCGTGTTACCTGGCTCAAACTCATCAGAGCTGCCTGCATCCCAGGTCAAGGAGAGGCTTGCAGAGAAGGGAGGCAGGTAAAGGCTGTCCTGTCTCAGCAACTTGAAGGAGGGGAGACAACATTCTCCTGCCAAAGCCCACAAATGGAAAAAGGTAGCAGAGATCTCTCCATAACTGGCTCAGGGAAGAGGTCCAGAAAGACCTTACGGAGGAAGAAAAAGCATATGTACCGTGTTAGTTAAAAAAATACCTCGAGCGGTTTCAAGTAAGTGATACCTGTTTGATTGATTGCCAGGGCTTATTCCCAGCAATAGCATGTGCAGAGGGGCATAAGCTATTCTCTATATCGCACTGAAGTGCCGAATAAATTTCCTGCGAAGAATGCACAGAGCTGGGAAGTGGGAAGGACTCATGGATACGGGGGTTGATCTGCAGTGTTTGAACTAGGCGTGTTTCATCTCTCCTCTCTAGTGAGTCAGCAACCAGATAAACATTAACTTTCAGGCCTGTCTGCACAAAGAAATCACCTATTAAATCCTCAGATCTGAACATGGGTTAGAGAGGGCAGACTGAGGCAAATCTGGGGTTGGCTGGAAAGCTAAACTACCAAGTGGCACCAACACTGGCCTGTCTGAGGCGAGAAGAAAGCTAGGAAGGGAAGCTGAGGTATGTGACAGCTGAAGGAAAGGTGTGGCTCAGAAACAAATCCCAGCTATATTGGAGCCTTTGCAGGTGGATGCTGTGTAATCTGTAGCCTAACAGCATCTCCCAACTGCCCCTCCTGAGACACATCTGAGTTAAGCCGCAGACTGCATGTCCAGAAAGCAAGCACCAGCCAGCTGATGCTGCAGGAGGTGTAGAGATGGCACAAAATTCCAAAATGGATTTTTCAGTGGAGCAGCACATAGCACTACATAACTGACAGCTTCAGACTTCTTAAGCCAACTATTTACTTTTACTATTTTTAGCCGGATTTTAAGCCTAGATTTTCTTTTGCTTGGATAAGTGTGTTTGTGGCTTTCTGTGAATGCACCTGAGTATTTGGGACACTGATGTTTCATAGGTTTTGCCTATTTTGTTCCTTGCCCTGATTAACTGAGATAAATGGAGAAACAATCTGGTATTTGTGAGAGATAGCAGGAATGTCTTCACTGTTCACAAAAGTGTTGATTTTCTGTCTCAAACCATTTTAGTATTTTACATTTTAGAACAACAAGCAAACAAAACGCAACAAAACAACCCTGTACATTTGGCCTGGCTCTGAACTGGAGCAAACCGCTTGTAACTCTGTAGAAGACTTATGTTTGCGTCACTTGTTCAGACCATTACAATCCCCTTCTGTTTTTCCTGCAAAGTCCCTAGGGAGATGGAAAAAATTTGTTCCTTAATATGCAACCAGAAAATAAATTACTGCAGTCTGTGCAAATTCTCTACATACAGCCAGGGCAAATTACACCTGGAAGACTGCTGCGTAGGGGGGTACCTGGCAAGGGTGAATTTCTCTTTGTACAAATGGACTTCATTATGTTAATAATGAGTGAACCAGTGAGGAAATCAACATTTAATGATAGGAGAAAAAACACTGTATCTTTGCAGTCGTAAGTTGTATTGAGATTTCATGGATAGATTTCAGATGATGATGATGATGATGATGTTGGTCTCCATTAAAGGAACTGCTGCTGTAAAATGTAAAATAACTGTGACACTGAAGTACGAATTGTATCTGACTGATAGAGGAGCTGCAGGGACTGCTGCGGAAATGGAGAACTCCACTTGTTTCTTAAGCTGAAGCCAACCGGACTGGCTGAAGGTAGTCACCGTCAGCAGAGATGGGTGCCGAGGGTCAGCCTTCCTCCCCGAAACGGGGTCAGCTAGCACCACGCTGTCTGGGGTACCCTCCCACCCCGGCTTTACTCGGCCCTTTCAGCACCCGCTGCCGGGGCAGTGCCGGGCCGGAGCGGAGCTCGGCTGGTGCCGCCGGCAGTGGCAGTGCCCAGGGGTGCCGGGACTGGCCCCGGACGATAGGACCGGGGACGGGGGGGGCGGCCCCGCGGGATCCCCGCCCCGGGCGGTGCCGGCGCTGCGTCCGTAGCCGGGGTTTATCCCCGGGGAGGCAGAGGCGGGGAGCGGCGGAGCGGGTGAGGCGCGGAGGGGGGGGCTGGTCGGGTGCCGCAGGGCTCCCGCGGTCGAGGGGAGGGTTTGGGTTCATTTGTTGCCGCTTTACTTTTTGTTTTCCACTTGCCCGTTTTGGGGCCGTTTTCCCGAGGCGGCGGTACCCGGAAAGCTGCTGCTCCGCAGGTCCCCGCGGCGGGGAGGACCGGGCTGAGCCTCCGCCAGCTCTCCGTTCCCCCGCATCGTTCCCCACCGTCCCCTGGGGTGCGGCGGCGGCGGCGCGGCCGGTGCGGAGCTCACCTGACCTGCGGGGCCGAGGCTGCTGCGGGAGGCGGGAGCCGGGAGCGGCCCCGGCCCCGGTATGTGTCCGGGGAGAGACCGGAGGGGAGGGCAGGTCCTCCGGGAGGAGCTGGACGTGTTTGGGGTGGGTTTGCTTTATGAGCTGGTGTATTCTGAGTGCTCTGCGCTGGAAGCTCTAAGGGACGTGGGGACCGTTGTGAACTTAAAACAACAGCGCTTGCCATTTTCACATCAGGTGTGCCTTTGGGGGGTTGTTATGCTTTCGGGGTTGGTTTTTTGTTTGTTTGTTTTGTTGGGTGATTTGTTAGTTTTGTTTTAGGTTTTTTTTTCCCTGAATTTAAACGTTGCAGGCTGGCTTCCCTCCCCATCTGATAGATAAAGGTTTAGGAAAAATGGACTACAAATGAGCACATGATTTACAGAAACTTAGGAAGATGGGTGTGCACCTCTTCTGATCTGCTGGCTGGTACAGTTGCATGTAGTTCTCTGTGTCATGCATGGCTGAACACGAGCCAGCTTGTGCCCAGGCAGCCAAGAAGGCCAACAGCATCCTGGCCTGTATCAGAAATAGCACAGCCAGCAGGGCCAGGGCAGGGATCATCCCCCTGTACTCAGCACTGGTGAGGCTGCACCTTGAATCCTGTGCTCAGTTGCAACTGCAACTGAACTGTGTTCACTGAGATGCTGGAGTGGGTCCAGAGAAGGGCAATGAAGCTGGTGAAGGGTCTGGAGCACAAGTGTTATGAAGAATGGCTGAAGGAACTGGGGCTGTTTAGTCTGGAGAGGAGAATGCTTGAGGGGTCCTTATCACTCTCTACAACTACCTGAAAGGAGGTTGTAGTGAGGTGTGGGTCAGTCTCTTCTCCCAGGTAACAAGTGACAGGACAAGAGGTAACAGCCTCAAGCTGCACCAGGGGAGGTTTAGACTGGACATTAGGAAAAATTTCTCCACCAAAAGGGTTGTCAAGCACTGGAACAGGCTGCCCAGGGAAGGGGTTGAGTCACTGTCCATGGAGGTATTTAAAAGATGTGTAGATGTGGTGCTTAGGGACATGGTTTAGTGGTGTACTTGGCAGTGCTAGGTTAACGGCTGGACATGGTGATCTTAAGGTCTTTTCCAGCCTAAACAGTTCTATGATGTGTCACTGTGGTCTTTTAGATTGAAGGTACCATACCCTGCTAACTTGCTTTTCTGTTTTACATTTTAGGATACATTTCTGTTTTGATAGTTACTAGCCCAGCTCTCATTTAGCACTGACTTTCACACTGAATGGTTTGCCTTTTGGAGGAGCTGTACAAACTGTGTTCAGTTTGTACTTTCATTTTCTTCAGTGGAGAAAGAATGAGATTTCTGTGGTATTTAGTGAGTGAGTTTTAAGCTAGTGGGTCCTAACTGCTCTATTACTGGTATATGCAGGTACAGTTATTCCCACTTCCGTCCTTTGGCACACTCCAGTTTCTGCAAGTGATGAAACAA